TCYRTRKMYTTGYCTCTGCTCAGCAGCCTCCTGGCTGTGTCCTGTCCTGTRTGGAGGACACAGGTCCCTACAAGATTCGTGGCTTTGGTCCCTGGTCCCAGTGGACCAACCCCTGCATGCATTGGAGGAGAAAGAGGCCTGGAGAGGAAAGATTCAGGCAGGGGTTCTGCAGGAGCCCCGTGCTGGGGACACAGGGCTCACCTGTCACTGGAAAGAGGGGACCTCAGCCCTTCTGGCTGTGTGGCTCTGAAGCCCTTGATCCTGGGCACTCTCAGCTCGTCCATGAGCTCCTGCAGCAGCYGGGCCATTGCTGAACGGGACCCCTCAAACCAGGCTCAGACCCAGCCCCCAACCCTGCTCTGTGCCTTGTGTGYGGCAGGGATTTATGAGCAGCAGCCAGGAGGGAGCAGAGGTGACCCAGCATGCCTGTGGCCACAGATGACATCTGTYCCCACAGCAGGCACATGCTCAGCTCCCAGCTCGGGCTGACTCCACGGCACATCCACTCTCTCCTGCCTCTTTGTGCGCAGCTTCCATGCTGTGAACACACACGGYCAGCAGCGGCACAGCCTCACCCCTTCGCTCCGGGAGCCACTGTAAGAAACGCAGCGGGAGTTGCTGGAGTGGGAAAGGTATTTCTGAATAAATCCCGCTCCTGTCCTGAAGGTGCCAGCATAGAAACACTGATGTGCCAGAGCCTCCGGGTACCCTGCAGCCCACTCTGGGCTAAAAGCAATTTTTCTGTTCACAGCAACAAATTTTAAACCAGTCTGAGCCAGGGCAACCSCAGCCCTGGAGCTCTTCCCTGTTTGTCACCACGGCAGGCAATGGATAAAGCCTTGCACCCCCAAGTCCCAGCTCTTCCACCACAGCACATTACACCCCGCACCCCCAGCCGCAGGGAGCCACTCCCATGTGACGGTCTGACAGTGTTTGAGTGGGGAAAACAGAACGAGACTGGGAATCCCATGTCATCGTCATCATCATCTTCATCATCATCATCATCATCATTCCCCCACTGCTGCCTTCTGTGTGTTGGTGATGGGGACAGTCGAGGCATACACAGGGATGGGTTCAGTGCTCTTGGGCCTCTCTGAGCAGAGGGCAATGCTGTCACCAGCTCTGCAAACATTGGTGCTGTCCRCAGAGAAGTTGTTCCTGTAGCCGGTTTGGCTTCTGATTTGTTTTATTTTATCTTCTCACTGAATTTTGTGGTCTGGCCTCATTGGAGTGTGAGTGTGCGAGAAAAAGCCTCCTTTACCTGACAACCTCATGGTGGCTCTGACCACACAGCCTGGAAAGTACAGCAGTGATTCCGACGCCACAGAAGGACACAGAGACATAAGTACAAGGCACGGGCAGGAAGACAGGCACCGCTTTTATTGCTGGCGTTACCCAGGGATGAGGGAGCGAGCAGAGCGAAGGCAAACTCCTCGTGGTGCATTTCCCAACATTCAGGGCAGCAGCAGCAACTGCAGCGGCTCYGCAGGGTGCACTGAAGGTGGCAGCATCTGCAATGGGACAGGACAGAAGGGTCACCCTTCTGCTCCGGCACTGCAGCAATCCTGCGTCTGGAGTCAGGTGTCGTTGTGGAAAGAGAGACCCTGGGAAGCCTCTGGGTGCTGTGCAGCAGGGAGATAAAGCAGCGCCAGCACCCCCAGCTTACCAGAATATGCCCATCTGCTTCCTCCGGTTGATGTCTCTCTTCAGCTGGCAGAGACTACACGGGGTGCAGCACCAGATGACGCAGAAATCATCCATGATGGAGCCCTGCGGAGCAAGGAACATTGCATGAATAACCCCTGCCCATATCAGCCTTTAAGCCTTTCAGCCTTTCTGTTTTTTGTCATCAGCACCCTGGGGAGCTCGCCCGAACCCTACAGCACCCTGCTGCTCAGATCCAGCGGGACTGGGATGAAGTGGAGTGCGGTGGGATTATCTCCAGTGGAGTGCGGTGGGATTATCTCCAG